CATGCCTCTATCCATAGTTTTGCTTCCTAGATCATTCCTCTGCTTCCTGTTACCTTCCTTCTGCCTCACTATCATGCTCACCCTACTTCTGCCTCACAGTACTTCCTTTCAGCTAGATTGCTGTTGTGCCAGCACTCCCATGATCTCTACTGATCATCTCTCTCTGAATGATCTCTCCAGAGAATGTAAGTCCCACAATTTCAGTATAGGACTTGGCAGTCCTACACCTTGTTCAGAGCACTGTGCCTCCATTTCCTTTTCTTTCAAATGAAATGATAAGGCTATTTTTGAGGATTAATTAAGATACAGTATCTGCTCTGTAGCAAGTTCTCTATAAGCTCTATTGTTTGGGATATGATATTTTTATTTTTTAAATTCTTTACCACGCCAAGCAAAGGCTAGAGTAATAAAAGAAAAAGGAGACAACATTGTATACTGCGTCTAAGTGGAGGAAGGGGCAGAGCCATGTAGCATAGTAGCACTTGGGGGATATCCTAAGAGGAATTCATTTTAGTGTTCAAGAAATTCTTAGTGTCTTGCAGATACTTCACTCATGAATTGGGAATATCAATATCTTGCCTGAATGGGTGGCTATAGGCAGAAGTGAATAAGTCAGAAAAGATGAGACAAAAGACCAGAAAGAAGAGCGTAAAGTGCTTAAGGGAACTAGGTGGCCATGGGTGTGGAGAAGTAGGAAAGCACCCAATGAAAGGGTATTTTTCTTACCAACTGACAGACAGTGGTGGCCGCTGCGGAGCTGGGTGATGAGTGCCGGGCAGCTTGTGGGTACACAAGAGTGAGGGGGCCATCCTCAACCTCTACCTCTACCTCTTTGTGGAAGCAAATGGCAAGAAGTCAAATGACACATCCTATTAGATACATCTGCTGCAAAGACTTCTTTAAAGTACTCAAAAGCAAAGATGTCAAGTTGATGACTGGGCTGTGCCTGATGCAAGCTGGGGTCTTTTCAAGCCTCATTGGCATGCGAAAGCCAGACAACGAACAAAGGAGATTGAAGAAGAATGAATGCAAAGAATAGTGAGAATACTGTTGGTTCAATCTTGGAAGAAATACAGCTAGGATACTCCTTCTGTGAGAGGGTTGCTTACCGGGGATGGGTCATTAGGAAAAGCCAATGGCCAAAAAAAAAAAAAAAAAAAGGACATTATGTTTGGTCAAGCAGAGGGTCAAGGAAAACCAAGGCAACTTTCCTTGAGATGGACTCATGTATACAACCATCCCGAAGATGACGGCAATGTCCTGTTTGTTTTGTTTGATCACACTTACGGTCACCATGAGTAAGAGCTGACTCAATGGCAAGTAACAGCAGCCACCAGGGGTGGCAAATGAAAGTCAGGAACTCACGAGGCATTCTAAGTAGAAGCTTCAAACTTAAACTGCAGTTTCACAGCCCCATGGTATCACGGTGATGAATGTTAACTTTGATGCACTCACATTAATGTTGCTACAGACCTTTGGTCCAAAGGCAGGATGTTTAGTTGAAATATGAAGGCCTAAGTAAAACATTGCTCACAAAGTCAGCCTATTGAGAAATGATTTGGCACAGTCAAGCTTTAGCTTTAGGGAGCTCTGAAATTTTTGTCTTTGGAATTGGACAATTAAATGTAAGCAAGGTAATTTTAGTTACATTTATTATACTTTATGTCTCCAGTCTTCTTCTTCTTCCTTTTTTATTCCGGGACAAGAAAGTGTTCACTTTATGGATTTTGTGGAAAAATTTTGTGGTTCACTGATCCTCTAGTTGAATCATTATGACCATAGGACTAGAAGGATTATCTGTTCCAATAGAAAATGTTTAAATTTCCAGGGATTAAAATATACCTATCCCTATTTCATCATATCTCCAAGAGAACCCCCACACCCACACGAATGGTATGCTAGAAAATGTCATCTGGAATAGACAAGCTAATAGTCCAAAGCTGGTTCTCCTGATGAATACACAAAAGAACCCGGTAGCATAGGAGCTTAGCATCAACGGCTAATTGAAAAGTTACTGGCTTGATCTCACCAGTGACTTCAGAGGTAAAGATATGGCAAACTGCTTCTATAAAGATGACAGCGTGACGAACCCTAGAGGGCATGACAGCACGGCGAACTCCAGGGAGCTATTCTGTGTCCTCAGGGTCCCGATAAATTGGAATTGACTGAACAGCACACAACAGCAGTATAAGCATGGAGGCAGTGGTGGTTTAACGGTATAATTATTGCCTACCCATGGGAGATCCACGTTCGTTTCCTGGCCATGCATGGCAATGCATGACAAACTCCAGTTTGTCAATGGAGCATTGCTTGTTGACCATTGCAAAGAATTCTCAAATTTATCAGAGATGTCCAGTGCTGTGGGAGGGATGGCTGGTGTTACCATAGGGGAAAGAAGGATAGAAGGTGGAGGCATGTGTCGCCTCTGCCTTGTGGCAATTTGCCTTCTGCTGGTGTGGAGTTGGATTCTTTTTTTTTTTATAAATCATTTTATTGTGGGCTTGTCTCACTCATATCACAATCCATCCATCCACCCATTGTGTCAAGCACATTTGTACATTTGTTGCCATCATCATTCTCAAAACATTTGCTTTCTACTTGAGCCCTTGGTATCAGCTCCTCATTTTCCCCCTCCCTCCCCACTCCCCCTTCCCCCATGAACCCTTGATAATTTATACATTATAATTATTATTTTGTCCTATCTTGGATTCTTTTATGTCGTCAGAGGAGGTATGATATAGCCCGAGGCATTTCCTCTGTTAGTATTAGAAGTGGGATTTGTTGTCTCTAGAACTGAGAGAAAGTAAATTCCTGTTCTCCAAGACCAACCACTTGTGGTATCTTTTGTCATGGTAACTAAGGCAGCATGCGGGAGAGAGCCAAGAGCATGTGAATGGAGCCTCTATCACATCTGCTTTCCCTTCAGTTTTTCCCCTGAAAAGAACATGGGAAAACAAATTTCTTTCTACTTCTCCCTCTGAACACCCCGCGTTCTGGGGACCATCACCACTCCCTGGTCACTTAGGATTTTTTGGACTGGTTTAGCTTCATTTTTCTGATGAGAAAGCAAATACTCAGAAGTAATTTATCCAATGTCACATGCCTAAGGCCTTTCTATTATTTTACAAAGCAGGGTACTTTGGCGGAGGAAAGAGGCCAAAGCAGCTGCCCTTGCAGAAGTTCTGGCTTTAGCAGTCAGATGATCTAAACCCGAGGCAAGAAGAGCCACATTCCAGTTGCTTTCTCTCCGCGTTTCCTGTTTCTAAACTTCCTGGTTCCCCTCACTTGCTGAAATTTGTGTCCTAGCTCTCTGAAAACTATGTAGATGGTTCAATAATTCTCCTGAATCTTTGTCCTGCCACCAGTCCTAATGAGTTCTGGAAGCTTAGTGAGATACAGTCAATTAATATGGCTCTTCTAGCCGTATTCCTTATGTAATATGATTTTGGTTTCTATGCCTGTAGCTGGAATCCCATGTTGGAGGATGTTGTCTGCTACAGGACTAGCATGGGATATACTGTATCTTCAAGAAAACTTTGCTAGAGAGTGTGCTTTAAGACAGCCTTCATCATTTTTCTTGAGGGTATGAATGGCTAAAAGACAAAAACCATTCCTCCATTGAAGCCATTCTGGCTGGATAAGAGCCATCTTGGACACAGAAGAAAATTCTAGGACCCTTCAAAGTGCCTATTTGAGATCTCTCTCTGAAGTGGGAGAGGCCAAGACCAGAGGCACCAGAGATTTTGGGACAGATCAAGAGAATCTGTGCCCAGACTATGGGATGGTGAGGTAGAGCAATAGGGTAGTTCCCTGGCCCGTGGAGGCTAAGGCCAAGTGATTACGTGGCTGAGAGGCTGATGATCAGAGAGTGGCTTAACTGCTGTCCAAGAAGAAACATTGCTGTGGACCAAGGACTGTATTCTTACTGTTTGCTGATCCTGACTTCTGATTACATATTAACTTCTTTAATAGATCTTTCAATTATGAATATTGTGTGTATGTGTTCTGAGTAGCCATTGTGATGAATATTAGCGTTATTGGAGAATGCTACTTAAGACAATACTTAGACAAAGCACATGCCCTATCTGGAGTTGATTTTTCTCATTCAATGATTTTTGAGGTCCTGTTCAATTACACAGTATGAGACTAAGGTAGTGGGCTGAATACAAAGGTGAAACTCAGCCTCATTTATTTATAATATAGATTTGAGAAGCAGAAATTTTTTTTTAAACATTTTATTAGGGGCTCATACAACTGTTATCCCAATCCATACACACATCAATTGTGTAAAGCGTATTTGTACATCATTTCTCAAAACATTTTCTCTCCATTTAAACCCCCGACATTAGGTCCTCATTTTTCCCCTCCCTCCCCGCTCCCCCCTCCCACATGAGCCCTTGATAGTTTATAAATGGGTATTTTGTCATATCTTGCCCTGTCCGACTTCTCCCTTCATCCACTTTTCGGTTGTCTGTCCCCCAGGGAGGAGGTCACACACAGTTCCATGTAATCGGTTCCCTCTTTCCTACCCATTCTCCCTTTACCCTCCCTGTTTTGCCACTCACACCACTGGTCCTATAGGGCTCATCCATCCTGGATTCCCTGTATTTTCAGTTCCTATCTGGACCAGTGTACCTCCTCTGGTCTAGCCAGTCTTGCAAGGTAGAATTCGAGTCATGGTAGTGGGAGCGGGGAGGCAACCTTTAGGAACTAGAGGAAGGTTGTATTTCTCATCATTGTTACATCGCACCCTGACTGGCTCATCTCCTCCCCGAGACCCCTCTGCAAGGGGATCTCCAGTGGCCTACTAATGGGCTTTGGATCTCCACTCCACACGAGAAGCAGAAATTTTTGTAGACATTTTCAAAACATCCAAGGGTGTGTTCTTTGTCTTCATGTGCAAAGATCTAACAGCAGGACAGAAATAGCTAGAGTGATGTTGCTAAGCTGACACAATAATGGTAAAGGCTATGAAACATAATGTTCTAGAGATAGCATCTCCCGGAATTATGCACAAGTTACCGTCCTCTGTCCTTGCATGGTGTGAGTTCCTGCAGATTGGCAGCAACTTCTGGGTAACATCTGAGGGAAAGATAATGTATTAATATTCTGCCCAAGAGTGAGTAGCCAATTATCAGAGAGTGTAAGGAATCCACAGTGGTAGAGATTTTCTTTGAAGGGAGCTGAAACTGCACCCACAGTTGGAGGCCTCGCATGATGTTTCTTTTCCTACCTCAGTCTGGTGATCTCATTGGGTTGAATTCTCTGTGGTTTGGCTTCAAGCTTTTCCCCTTTCCATCCTCATCTGTTCATGTTGATGCCCCATTTCATGGTCTGCAACTTCTTTCCTGCAGTTTTCTTACTCCTTTTCATCTCCACAACTCCTGCTTTTCTTCAATCTGCTCCGTGTCTCTTCTGCTTTTCTGTCCACTGAGTTGATTAAACAGACTAGTATAAGTGACAACTGAGAGGACGAATCAAGAGAGGCCAGTAAACCTCCTCACATCAGCCTCTATGGCTTTATTTTAAGCCTGTCTTTGCCCTGGAGGTGTAATTCATAAAGTCCTTGACTGCTAACCTGGCAGTTCAAACCCACCCAGAGATGCGCCATGGGGAAGAGACATTTTGATTTGTTTCCATAAAGATTATTGCCAAGAAAGCCATACGGGCAGTTCTCCTTTGTCATATTGGTTTGCTGGAGTCATAAAATGATGGCATTCAAAAACAACATGCTTTTCCCAAATATCTAATAATAAATAGAAGAAAAGTTTTATAGAGTAAGAAAGGAACCCAAGGAATCCAAGAGTTAGGGCCTCAGGCTGAATAATAAATAAGAGTTTTTGATTCAATGAGACAACTAGTGCGTCTCGAGCAGCGGTTCTCAACCTCTGGGTCGTGACACCTTTGGGGGTTGCAGGACCTTTTCACAGGGGTCGTCTGATTCATAACAGTAGCAAAATTGCAGTTATGAAGTAGCAACTAAAATCATTTTATGGCAGGGGGTCACCACAACATGAGGAACTGTATTAAAGGGTCACGGCATTAGGTAGGTTGAGAACCACCGATCTAGAGCAAAGGTTGGCAAACTACAACCAAGGGGCCAAATTCTAGTCTATGCTTCTCTTCATCATTGAAGTTCTGTTGGAATACAGACATACATGTGATTGTGCATTATCCTTGGCAGGAATCAAGGCAACTTGGTGGCACGGTAGGCTGGGTGTTGGGCTGCAAACCACAAAGCCAACAGTTCAAACTCACCAGCTACTCCTAGGGATAAAGATGAGGCTATCTGCACTGGTACAAATTTTGCAAACTCAGAAACCCTATATAAAATCACTATGAATTAGAATCAATTCCATGTCAGTGAGTTATGGCAAGAATCACATTGGCTGCACAGCCTAAAATATTTACTCTTTGGGCCTTCACTGAAAAGATTTGTGGACTCTAGAGGTAATGAATGGAAGCCTGTATTTCTTTTCTTTCTTATTTTTTTAAAATTGGGGGCTCTTACAGGTTTAATCACGATCCATACATATATCCATTGTGTCAAGCAGGTCTGTACATATGTTGCCATCATCTTTTTCAAAACATCTTCTTTCTACTTGAGCCCTTGGCATTAGCTTCTCACTTTTCCCCCTCCCTCTTCCATCCTTCCTTCTCTATGAACCCTTGATAATTCATAAATTATTATTCTTTTTCATGTCTTACACCAACTGCTGTCTCTGTTCACGCACTTTTCTGTTGTCCATCACTCTGGGAAGGGGCTGTACGTTGAGATCAGA